TGCCCTTCCTGTCAGTGCTGAACTCTGTTCGTAAGACCGAGGATGTCCGACTGAAACTGCTCTTTGGGACCTGTAACTAAAGCTTTTGAAATAGTCCTGCTACTTAGAGGCACTGAAAAAAATGGGATACCTTGGACAAGTGTCCATTTTTACAGTCAAAAGAATCTTTCTGAATCTAATGCTCCCCATGGATTGCTCTTGTAGCTTTAGCAAAATTTCTCTGCAACAAGAAGTACTGGGAGAGAAGGAACAGCTTACAAATTCTGTCCTTCCCTCAAGCAGGAAAAAAAAGATCATGTCCACCAGTTAAGCGAATAAGTCCATCACATGACAGATGGGACATAAAGCCATCAGGTTTAGGCACAACCATTAGGCAGGAAGACATGTTGGCTCAAAGAAGCTAGACAAAACAAATAAGGGCTACCAAGAAGACAGGAATCCACACAAAGTAATGAACCTAATATTTAAAAACTGATTTGGTGAAAAAATGCTGCGGGGAGCAGCAGACCATGTTTCCTTCCACTGCCACAAGCTATAAGAGGGAACTGAGAAATAGATGTATGGAACTGCTCTAGCCTATATGCTCTTGGACTGGAAGGGATACAAGGCAATGCAGGATACAGGCACATCCCAAGGACCAGAGACTTGAAGAATCAAGGTGTTGTTCCATCAAGTCTTGGGCAGATCAGCCTCACACTTTAATTACCTCTCCTGGCACATGTAAGAATTGGCAGTGACTGGTTCAATAAAGCACTGTGCCCAGCCGCAAATCCCCTAGAGAAAAAAATACTGAAAACACACGCCACACAAAGATACTAAATATTAAGGATGTTAATTATTCAATTACATGATATCTGTGTAACTGCACAAACTACTATCCATTAGACAATTATTCAATAGTCCCTGGGGGCAGAGCCAGCAGTCAGGGCGCTCCCAGATCCATTCCTGGGGAACTCCCTCATACCCTGTGCTGGTGACAGTGTGGGGTGACAGGTGGAAGCTGGTCCACAAAGGGAGCTGAGTTAAAAACCAGCTTCTTTTGTAGACCAGCCCTCACCTGCTGCCCCAGGGTACTGCCTCTGATACAGAAAGCACAAGACTGTGCTAACATCCCATGGGGCAACCTCTGTCCAGGGTGAACCTGGGCCCTGCCTGCCCCCCCTTCCGCTGCCTTTGCGAGGTGGAAGGGAAGAAGCAACTCTGCAGAGCCAGCTTCCCATGTATATCAGCTCCCTCCTCCCCCACGCCAGCGCTGCTGCCTCTGATAGAGGCGCAGCAGTGCAGAGAGTGGGGAAGAGGCAGATAGGTCCGGATAGCTGCCCCCCATCACCCTCTGCACTGTCGCCTCTATCAGAGGCAGCAGCATGGGAGTCGAGAGGGGGCTGGAGGGCAGGGGACTCTGCGGTGCACGTGAGAAGCAAGCTTAAAGAAGCAGCAAGAGTATGGGGGGGAGGAGTGCATGTAGTCAACAGGATTAACCAATAAACCCAGTTTTACAGGTTAATCATATACTTGACTACACACTGAAATCCCTACTAAATCTATTGTGACTAATACTAGAGCAGTATAGTACCCCTCTCCAAAGAGACTAATATCCATGTTGTGAAAGGGCTTCCCTCATGCTTTATGAAAAATATTCTTATGGATATTCATAACTAGAAAATACTTTACGCGAAATAGTTCATGTAAGATATCATTGGAAAGTTTGTAATTTACTCAATGTGTATATTCTATTTGTATGAATGTATCTGAAATTAGGAATACTGTCGGTAGATTTAATATCAGTGTGTTCTTGTTCTATTTAAGGCAAGGAAAGCAAACACTGATCGTCTTCAGCTGGCTTTGCAGACTGCTTCCCCACCACGAGAGGATACATGAAAATCCCTGGAAACAAAAGGACTAATGACAGGGATGCAGGAGAACTTCTGAACCCAGATCAGAAAGGGCTTCTCTGGCTCGAGAAGGACTTTATCTGACATAACTACTGAGATGAGAAATATGATTTTTAACAAGTTCTCTTAGTGTATTAAGCTTAGCTTGCATGTTTTGTTTTATTTTGTTTAATAAACTACATTATTCTTTCTTCTCTCTCTTATGACCACTTAAATTCTACTTTTATACTTATTCTACTTTTTATAATTCACTTTTGTTTATAAATACACCCAATCTTATGCAAATGAAGCCCGGGAAATTCAAATCCTGGGCTTCATTTGCAATTGCGGTATGCCTACATTACCCTCCTATTTCGAATTAGGAGGGTAGTGTAGACATACCCATAGTGGAGCTCAGGCCTGCTCCACCTCAAAGTAGTGGAAATGAGTGCTAGACTTTGTTGCTCTGCCCTTCCTGTCAGTGCTGAACTCTGTTCGTAAGACCGAGGATGTCCGACTGAAACTGCTCTTTGGGACCTGTAACTAAAGCTTTTGAAATAGTCCTGCTACTTAGAGGCACTGAAAAAAATGGGATACCTTGGACAAGTGTCCATTTTTACAGTCAAAAGAATCTTTCTGAATCTAATGCTCCCCATGGATTGCTCTTGTAGCTTTAGCAAAATTTCTCTGCAACAAGAAGTACTGGGAGAGAAGGAACAGCTTACAAATTCTGTCCTTCCCTCAAGCAGGAAAAAAAAGATCATGTCCACCAGTTAAGCGAATAAGTCCATCACATGACAGATGGGACATAAAGCCATCAGGTTTAGGCACAACCATTAGGCAGGAAGACATGTTGGCTCAAAGAAGCTAGACAAAACAAATAAGGGCTACCAAGAAGACAGGAATCCACACAAAGTAATGAACCTAATATTTAAAAACTGATTTGGTGAAAAAATGCTGCGGGGAGCAGCAGACCATGTTTCCTTCCACTGCCACAAGCTATAAGAGGGAACTGAGAAATAGATGTATGGAACTGCTCTAGCCTATATGCTCTTGGACTGGAAGGGATACAAGGCAATGCAGGATACAGGCACATCCCAAGGACCAGAGACTTGAAGAATCAAGGTGTTGTTCCATCAAGTCTTGGGCAGATCAGCCTCACACTTTAATTACCTCTCCTGGCACATGTAAGAATTGGCAGTGACTGGTTCAATAAAGCACTGTGCCCAGCCGCAAATCCCCTAGAGAAAAAAATACTGAAAACACACGCCACACAAAGATACTAAATATTAAGGATGTTAATTATTCAATTACATGATATCTGTGTAACTGCACAAACTACTATCCATTAGACAATTATTCAATAGTCCCTGGGGGCAGAGCCAGCAGTCAGGGCGCTCCCAGATCCATTCCTGGGGAACTCCCTCATACCCTGTGCTGGTGACAGTGTGGGGTGACAGGTGGAAGCTGGTCCACAAAGGGAGCTGAGTTAAAAACCAGCTTCTTTTGTAGACCAGCCCTCACCTGCTGCCCCAGGGTACTGCCTCTGATACAGAAAGCACAAGACTGTGCTAACATCCCATGGGGCAACCTCTGTCCAGGGTGAACCTGGGCCCTGCCTGCCCCCCCTTCCGCTGCCTTTGCGAGGTGGAAGGGAAGAAGCAACTCTGCAGAGCCAGCTTCCCATGTATATCAGCTCCCTCCTCCCCCACGCCAGCGCTGCTGCCTCTGATAGAGGCGCAGCAGTGCAGAGAGTGGGGAAGAGGCAGATAGGTCCGGATAGCTGCCCCCCATCACCCTCTGCACTGTCGCCTCTATCAGAGGCAGCAGCATGGGAGTCGAGAGGGGGCTGGAGGGCAGGGGACTCTGCGGTGCACGTGAGAAGCAAGCTTAAAGAAGCAGCAAGAGTATGGGGGGGAGGAGTGCATGTAGTCAACAGGATTAACCAATAAACCCAGTTTTACAGGTTAATCATATACTTGACTACACACTGAAATCCCTACTAAATCTATTGTGACTAATACTAGAGCAGTATAGTACCCCTCTCCAAAGAGACTAATATCCATGTTGTGAAAGGGCTTCCCTCATGCTTTATGAAAAATATTCTTATGGATATTCATAACTAGAAAATACTTTACGCGAAATAGTTCATGTAAGATATCATTGGAAAGTTTGTAATTTACTCAATGTGTATATTCTATTTGTATGAATGTATCTGAAATTAGGAATACTGTCGGTAGATTTAATATCAGTGTGTTCTTGTTCTATTTAAGGCAAGGAAAGCAAACACTGATCGTCTTCAGCTGGCTTTGCAGACTGCTTCCCCACCACGAGAGGATACATGAAAATCCCTGGAAACAAAAGGACTAATGACAGGGATGCAGGAGAACTTCTGAACCCAGATCAGAAAGGGCTTCTCTGGCTCGAGAAGGACTTTATCTGACATAACTACTGAGATGAGAAATATGATTTTTAACAAGTTCTCTTAGTGTATTAAGCTTAGCTTGCATGTTTTGTTTTATTTTGTTTAATAAACTACATTATTCTTTCTTCTCTCTCTTATGACCACTTAAATTCTACTTTTATACTTATTCTACTTTTTATAATTCACTTTTGTTTATAAATACACCCAATGTAAATAATTGTTACTGGGGGAAGGGAGGAAGAGATGCTGTGAACCTCTCTTTCATTAATAAAGGGAATTAACATTTTATGACCTTGCTCTGTATAAAACTTTACTCAGAGGAGGACAAATTTATCTGGGGTTCTTGTCCCATTGGGGCTTTGCACCTTTGTGCTGTGGCAAGTCCTTATGACTGAGCCTTCCCAAAGCTGATCTGATCTCAGTGTTTATTCTTCTGCTATGGGCTGCGACTCCACCTCTGTTGGTAGAGATCGGAGGATCTGGCTCAGCAGGACAGGCTGGTGGATCGCCCCAAAGTGCAAGTAGGCGGGCTCAGTGGTATGTCAATATATCAAGTGACAGTCTTGAGGCCCACAAATGTAATGTTAGTACAATTACTTGGGACTTTATAACAAGAAACATAGAAGAGGTGAGAATGCAAGTCTGAAAAGAAATATTTCAGAACAAAGCTTATTTTAAAAACTTTATATTAAAAAAGCATATACCCTTTTCTGGTGCCACATTTCTTTCTTGTAGAGGTCTTGGGTGATAAGTTTGGAAAGTCTAAAAAACAAAATACAAAAAAGTGTGGGAGGAGGAAAGATAAGGTCTTTACAATCAGTTTATTTCATATTAAACGCTTTGCTAGAAACATGTTTTAGATTTCTTTAGGATACCTTCTGAAACAGTTTTCTCCTTGATTTTACAAATAAGTTAAAAATCTCAAATCCTAGTTTTGGGAAGTGATGTTTTCCCTGACTGTACTCAGAAAACATTTGGAAGTACAGGCAGTCCCCGGGTTCCATGGATCCGACTTACATCAGATCCCTACTTACGAACGGGGTGAGGCAACCCCGCACTAGCTGCTTCCCCCCAGCAGACCAGGGAGACGCGAAGCTAGCGCCCCCCCACAGCAGACCAAGGAGACGCGGAGCGGCTTTTCTCAGCAGACACCTCAGCTTGAGAATAAAGGACTGAGGGAAGTGAGGTGTGGGAGAATAAAACTGAGCTCTGGAGAAATGTTTGGCTAGAGTTTCCCCTACGTTATGTACCAGTTCCGACTTACATACAAATTCAACTTAAGAACAAACCTACAGTCCCTATCTTGGACGTAACCCGGGGACTGCCTGTACCCTTTAAACAACCAGAGTAAATACCTACTCTAATAGATGCTAAGTCAGTATTTTATGAAGCCCAATGAAGTACAAACCCTAAGATTAGATCATTTTTATGTCATAATTTAATTGATAATT